TGGCTAAAACAAACATAACAACATAAATAAAGATTTCAGAAAAAAGATTACTGCATTTGCCGAATAAACACCACTTATTTTGTTTGGCAAAATGAAAAAATGTTGTAGACGCGGTTATGTGTTTTCACAATTATGGTAATTTGATTAGCAATTACAGATTCTAGCTTTCCATCTTTACATAAAATGTAATATGTTATGCTGGAAGCATTTTGAGAAAGGATGCTGTTTTGGGTGAAATAATTGATTTCCCTTAATGAGGTTTTATGTGCCTGCTCTTATAAAAGGTATATGAGAGCACACTGCATCATTCTTTGTATCTGGGTCAAAATAAGAGGAGACAGTCTTTTATAACTTTGCTGCCCCCTGTTCCCAATATAAGAGGAAATAATGTGAAACTTTAAACCTAACTTCAGTCCGATGTGATGTTTAAGTACAAGTCAATTTATCTGTAACCAGCATATCATATTTTTTTAATACATTTTTTACTCATCTGTCATTTTAAAACAACATAAACCTATCAGTGGTAGATACACACTTAATGGACACAAACCTTTTGACTAGGACAGATTTCCTGTTTGAAAAGTGTTCTTTATTTGTTATATAAAAGCCACTTAAGGGGATTTTTGATAGACAAAAGGAAATAGCAGAAAAATAAGAGAAACAGAAGTAAACAGGAGCTTACTTGATGGTAGGAACATGGAATCCATCTACAGGTGCTGGTCATAAAATTAGAATATCATGAAAAAATAGATTGATTTCAGTAATTCCATTTAAAAAGTGAAACTTGTATATTATATTCATACATTACATACAAACTCATATATTTCAGATGTTTATTTTGTTTAATTTTGATGATTACAAATGACAACAAATGAAAATCTCAAATTCATCATATCAGAAAATTAGAATATTACTGAAGACCAATAAAAACAAAGGATTTATAGAAATGTTGGCCAACTGAAAAGTATGAACATGAAAAGTATGAGCATGTACAGCACTCAGTATTTAGTTGGGCCTCCTTTGGCCTGTATTACTGCAGCAATGCGGCGTGGCATGGAGTCGATCAGGTGTGGCACTGCTCAGGTGTTATGATAGCCCAGGTTGCTCTAATAGTGGCTTTTAGCTCTTCTGAATTGTTGGGTCTGGTGTATTGCATCTTCTTCTTCACAATACCCCATAGATTTTCTATGGGGTTAAGGTCAGGAGAGTTTGCTGGCCAATTAAGAACAGGGATACCATGGTCCTTCAACCAGGTACTGGTAGCTTTGGCACTGTGTGCAGGTGCCAAGTCCTGTTGGAAAATGAAATCTGCATCTCCAAAAAGTTGGTCAGCTGCAGGAAGCATGAAGTGCTCTAAAACTTCCTGGTATGTGGCTGCGTTGACCCTGGACCTCAGAAAACACAATGGACCAACACCAGCAGATGACATGGCACCCCAAACCATCACTGACTGTGGAAACTTTACACTGGACTTCAAGCAACGTGGATGAAGTGCCTCTCTTCTTTTCCTCCAGACTCTGGGACCTTGATTTCCAAAGGAAATGCAAAATTTACTTTCATCAGAGAACATGACTTTGGACCACTCACCAGCAGTCCAGTCCTGTTTCTCTTTAGCCCAGGCAAGACGCTTCTGACGCTGTCTGTGGTTCAAGAGTGGCTTGACACAAGGAATGCGACAGCAGAAACCCATGTCTTTCATGCGTCTGTGTGTGGTGGTTCTTGAAGCACTCACTCCAGCTGCAGTCCACTCTTTGTGAATCTCCCCCACATTTTTGAATGGGTTTTGTTTCACAATCCTCTCCAGGGTGCGGTTATCTCTCTTGCTTGTACACTTTTTTTCGACCACATCTTTTCCTTCCCTTCGCCTCTCTATTAATGTGCTTGGACACTGAGCTCTGTGAACAGCCAGCCTCTTTAGCGATGACCTTTTGTGTCTTGCCCTCCTTGTGCAAGGTGTCGATGGTCGTCTTTTGGACAACTGTCAAGTCAGCAGTCTTCCCCATGATTGTGTAGCCTATAGAACTAGACTGAAAGACCATTTAAAGGCTTTTGCAGGTGGTTTGAGTTAATTAGCTGATTAGAGTGTGGCACCAGGGGCCATCAATTTTGAACCTTTTCACAATATTCTAATTTTCTGATATGATGAATTTGAGATTTTCATTTGTTGTCATTTGTAATCATCAAAATTAAACAAAATAAACATCTGAAATATATGAGTTTGTATGTAATGTATGAATATAATATACAAGTTTCACTTTTTAAATGGAATTACTGAAATCAATCTACTTTTTCATGATATTCTAATTTTATGACCAGCACCTGTATTTTAAACAAATGCTACATAACCAAGCTTAAAAAGAAGCATCCCACTTTGGGTTCATGGTAAAAGACTATATAATTTCTGTGTAAAATTATTTTAACCTTTATTTGTGATAGAAAGAATTTAAGTCAGTGTAAGTTTAGTCCAGTATTACATTGGGTTTGTTGAGTTTTCATTTGTCTGATTATTAAGTTATAAAATTTATAAATGCTCAAATTACTCATATGGTTGATTATTCATAATCCCAGAACTACTCTCCCAATAGTGGAGACATTATTAGGCACCGCATGTACATTGATAAGATCAAGCTTTATGGTAAGATCGAACAAGACAATGACTCAGGCTTGAAAAATGTGAATAAATGGTTTCAAGGAAAGGGAAGGTTATCCACACAGAATGAATTGCATTCCCAGAAGTGCAAATAGCAGATATAAAAGAGAGAGTTTCATGTACTTTGGAATATCGCAGGCATATGGAAACAATGAAGTAGCTACAAGGAACAGCAACAGCAAATATTCCTGGAGCTTGGATGTTTTATCTTCAGTGGTGTCTCTGATGCTCTCTAGCCCTCCGCTTACTTCAATGCACTTAGTGTTTGGCCTTTGTATAGTGTATTTGGGGTATAGTAGCCACATGGTGACTAGCTCTTATTTTTTAACATTGGTGGCCTGAATATCCTCCCTAGGCCAACTTATTACCCTGGGATATGTGATTACTGGTAAGGCATAGCTTTTGATTACCCAGACCTTGTTCTTTCCATTGAGCGGACCTCCTAGCAGACTTTCCTTACTCCTTACTGGTATTTGGCTGTTGCTGCTTTTCTTTTGCCCTTAATAATTGCCATTTATCTTTGGTATGCCAAGGCACTTGTAGCTCTCTTCTACCTCTGCTTTACGGGTTACAATTCTCTATGTGTACCACATTTCTCCAGCCTGAATGACATGCAAATATCCCTGCTACAGATCGTGGTGGTTTGGATCAGTGAGTCAATGTCTCGCTCACTTTTAGCATACAGCTACCTCCTGTACATGTAATACATGTTCAGGATGTGGCTGATAGTGGCCCCTTTTCTGAGTTTGTATTCATAGCCAATGTTGTTAATTATTTGGCCAAGGGGTTTGGACCTATGTTAAACAGCAGAGGAGACAGATTATCTCTTTGTTATATTTCACATTTGATTTACACTTGTACAATTGGTTTGAAATTTGCCTCAAGGGTGGTCTCCCACAGTCTCATGTAGTTTGCAATGACGGTTCTCAGAGAGTTGTTGAACTTGTACAGCTTCACGCATTCCAGGATCCATGTGTTTGGTGCTGAGTCCTAGGCTCTCTTCTACTAAACCTAGGCAGTGCACATATTTTTTTGTTGGGCAACTGTTCTGTCAACCAGTAGTTGGAGTTTTCTGTGTTTTTACCAATGCCTTTCTAAACCTTTGTCAAATAGTATAGCCATATGCCCACTTATATTAGCAACTATGACAGGAGCTCTCATGTTATGGAGAGAGAGGCTATTTGCCCATACCTGGTTATGTTTCTTCTATTGTCTTTCATTATCAGGACTCAGCCCTTGGTTAGCCATTCGCTGCGGGGTCCCATTCTCCATTTGTGCCGTTCATAGAGATAGGTCAGCTTCTTCAGCCAGTAGGTTTGGATCTATTCTGGGCCTGGTGCTTTCTAGTTCTTCATACAACTGAAGAAAAAAATAATGCAACTATGGTACTCCAGTTAAAAAATAGGAGATCGGTGGTAATTATTCAGCCGGCACTATTTGTCTCTACAAAGACGAGAACAAGGCAAACATAACAGCCCTTGTAGCTAAAGTGCTCAGTCCTGTTCTGACCTTGACAATGGTTTCAAACTATCTTAAACTCATGAAAAAAATCCGGGAAGGTCTTCATCAAAACAAGCTCCTTCGTCTAGGTATTGCTGTTAGTTTAGACTGTGAGTACAGACACTATCGAAGCAGTCACGGTTCCCCAATGTCTTTAATATGTCCACATAAAGTAATAACAAAGATCTTGGCCTTTTACAGATTTATATCAAAGTTTGTTTGAACTTTTTATATTGTCCCTGATCACTGATTTGAATTTGACCACTTTTTTAGTTCTTTTTATTTTTTAATCTTTAGAGTCTGGATGGGAAATTTTAACTTAATATGTAAGTTAGCAAAAGGAAAGTAATTTTTGTCCTAATCATACACACTAAACAAGTACTTTAAACAAGTATTTCAGCTAGTAACTTTGAATGAGAGGGGAAACTAGACCATCTCACTGACTGAAGTATATTAAAACCATGATCTCCTCCCAAAGCCAAACTGTTTCTGGACTTTAGACAAGCAGATGCTGTGTGAATAAAGGAACATGTTCAATATCCTGTGCCCCTTAGAAACGATAATGAATGCTGTTAGCAATACATGGAAGAAAGAGCTTTAAACTCAACACCTGTTGAAGTTTTACATAGATTTAAATAATTAAAGCTCTTAAATCAGGGATGGGGGAAAATGCTTGAACACATATAAAGTATGTATCAGACCGAACTAAAGTGACTTTTGAATTCAGAGCCACGGTTTATTTTGAGTTTACTCTGGGTATACCTTACACTTTTGAAAACATAGCTGATATGCATACCTACTCTATAGTGACTTCATTAACACTCAGCTGTGTGTGTGTTTGTTTGCACAGGGTTTATACCCTGGCTCAGAGGAAGGCTGGCAGGTGTACAGCACAGCCTCAGATCCGGACGGCAGGTGTGTTTGCACGGTTGTCGCCCCTGCTCGAAACCTGTGCAAAAGAGACCCCCGGAACCGCCAGCTACGCCAGCTAACTGAACAGGTGAGGACCTGTGGTTTGCGCTTCAGTTTGTGGTCAACTTTGCAGAGCAGCACTGGTGTGGAGGCGGAGGCAGTGCACTGAAATTAAATATTAATTGGACTATTTCTTTGTTAAGACACATGCTGAAAGATGAACACACACATGCACAGATGCTGACGAGCCTCACTGACAGATACATCAGTGTCTGAATCCTCTACAGACTGTCAGTCACTCAGTAAGCCAGCAGACTTTCAACTTAAATAAACTCTGGTGGATATATGGGAAATAAACCATCTGTTTAGCTCTGCAGAGTAAGATTTTAAGAATGTACTCACAAATACACTCCACTTTGGATAAGTATTAGAAATCCTTTTCAGCTAGCCTGAATCAGTTACAAACACACACATGCATGTGTTTTATGAAAGAGACCAAAATATAGAGACTGCTGAACAAAGAAAAAAAAAAAAATGCATAAAAACCTTCCAGAACCGCAAAAGCATTACCAAATGTATTTTCTGCCTCATTTATTTTGAGATATCCAAATAAAAACCTCTACCCAAATTTCACATTGAGAAGTCACATAATCCATACTACATTAAATTAATTTATTCATGATTTAATCTCCATATATGAGTGTTCTGCGAAGGCGTTTAGAAACAGCATCAGGAAGACCAGGTCAGTTCAGAGATGAAGTTATGTAGGAGTTTCAAACAGAGTTCAGTCGCAAAAGAATATCCCAAGGTTTTAACATTATAAAGCACTGTTCAATCAAAGGATAAAAGGAGTAAACATTATGGCACAACTACATAACTACTGGAAGCCCATTGTAACACCAGATGAGCTAAAAGAACTATCAATTGACTCCACTAATCTGGCCTTTACAGGAAAGCAATAAATAGAAATCCCTTTACCAAAAGCATAATAAACCCTACATGTCTTCTTATAGCCATGTAGGGGAAACAGTAATTATTTAGAAGAAGGTGCTGTGCACCAATGCTGTGAGCTCTGAGGAGATCAAAACTGAATTTTTTGACCTGCATGTAACACTTCATTTGTGGCAGAAAACTCGGTGCATATAGTTATTAACATAACATTCCCACAGGGAAACATGCCTTGGGTTACATCATGCTGTGAACATACTGTAGTTCTTCAGAGAGGGATGCAGAAGATCAGATAGGAGGATGAATGTAGCTAAATACAGAGCTATCCTGCATGAAAACCTGTTGAACGTTTGATTGGGGCCGAGATAAGCCCTCTCACAGACTGTCGGTCACTTGGCACAATTTTATATATAAAAAAAAACAAAAGTATTAAGTGCTGTGAGCAAATCACAGTAATTACCCATTTATACGCTTCTTTGTAAATATGTATTCACTTATATGTGAAACTATGCATCACACTGTGTAAGTATATCTTTATCAATACACCCCGAGAGTGAAATAAAAATTATTTGTGACTAGGGACAATGAATTATTAAATACCGTCAGCCTAGCTAACATTGCTCACAGCATTCACTGCTGTGAGGATGTAACATCAGGATTTAGTTGTGCTGTATTTCCCCTTCAGCTAAAGTGAACCAAGGCATTAGTTACATCAAAACAACAATAACTCTTTTACCCATTTGCTGCATGATGTTATATTGCGGACAGCCAGAATGGGTGGGAAATGAGAGACGGCAGAGGATGAGCACAATCAGGGACAGCTTCCCCTCTTCCCTCCCAACACTGTTGCTGTCAGGAAGCTTGTGTGTTTATGAATCTTAATTAGCTCAGCATGTCTCTGGAAGTGACACCTACATCCTGCTGTGAGTGGGAATATCTGCATGTGTGTTTGTTTTGCACTCTCTTGTGTGTGTGCTCTCTCCTGGCCTCTCTAGCTCTCAGTTACAGCGAGATGAGTGGGTGGGTTTGTTTATTTGTTTATCACTTCTGCATTCACAGTTCACAATCTGGGTCATGGCATAGTAGTTTCTCACACATTTTCTTTTCCTCTTTCCTAATGTTTGGTATCAAAAGAGGTTTGCTGCAACTGTTAGTAGCTCAGGACTGTTAATGAGCAGTAACATGGGAGTCCTTGTTTTGTGTGAAAAGAGAACACTCTTAATGAGAATCTCCTGTTAAAAAGGATGTTAAGACATACTCCTGTAGAAACTTTTGTTCTCATCTCATTAAGAAAACACAATAGGAATTTGAAACTGCAAACTTTAAATGCTTTGAATGTAGAAAAAGTGTAAGGCCATTAAATCCATTTATGTTTTTTTTTTAATTAATTGAATGTTTTTCTGCTCATTTTATTTTAACTGATAAAATAAAAAAATAAAAAACATTTCCTTATCCAGCTTAAAAAAAATAAATACCTTAAAAAACTGTGGCAGCATGTTCGGTTATGAATCAACATTGCAGTAACACTATAATGGCTCTAAGCAAATGCGACTACTGGCAAGACTCTCTGAGAACCTGCTGTTGCGTGTATTTCGCATACAGAAAGGCATATCAATATGCAGAGGTTAATTTAATTTAAACAGATCATTTAAATTAGACAAACTGCTTTCATCGACAGAGGTGCTGTGTGCTTGGTCATGCCTTTTAGGAGCAAATCTTCTTGGCAAAGGACTTTTAAAATAAAGGAGCAGAGAAAAGTTTATTTTCCCTGCATTCTGCTGGCTCACTAATCTGTGGATATTCTTTCACTGCGTTAGCTCTTTAGGTATACATAACATATATAACTCAAGTTTCACAGTTAAATCATGGTGTTTTTTTCACAAATCTAAGGATCACCTTGAACAACCATAAATCATTTCAAGCATGAGGTTACAGGTACATGAATTCAAAGGACATTTTAATATATCAAAATATATCAACTCCATGTTTTTTTCTGTCAGGTGCAGAATGTGAGTCAGTCCATGGAGGTGGTGGACCTGCGAACATCAAGAGACCTCCAGTACGTCCGAGACTCTGAGCCTCTGCTGAGGGGAGTTGACGGTCGTTTGCACACTTATGTGGCCAGTCCCCGCACTCTGACTTCCAAGGGCCTCCAGGTATTCCAAAGACACACGCTCCAATATTTACAGATGCACAGCACGTAGAGAGTCAGGTTCTTAGACACATGTACAAAGTAAAACAGTCACTGCAGGGAATACATAACCTTTGGTGTGAAAAACATTGATTTCACGCACGCCAAGCCCAAGTTTCCTGCCTGTGCTCATAAACTGGTGCATCTTTCACCAACAAGGAAAATTTGTTATGAAGCTGTCAAAATGTCTTGCTTCATGCCATGTGTGTTAAAGGAGAATTGTTGTGAAAGGTGCCAGCAGGACTGCGAAGGAGGGGGTGGGGGGGCAATCTGAAAACTTTAAATATTATTTAAGAAAATTTACATGACAGTGATCACAATATAGCATAAACACTTAACGGGGCAACCTTATTATGTATGCAATCTTCTTGACAGAAATCTAAACATAAATGTATCTTAATTTGGGAGTGCTAATCGGATTGGTTATGCGGCTTTTGCTATGATATCTCTGGCAGGCGCCTGTGCCATCAGAAGAACTGGGGAAAGATAATCATGTGAGAATGAGAGCTTTTGGATCTGAATTATTTAGGATGAATTATCAGAACACTGATATCTGCAGTAAAAGGGCTTCTTTAGAATAAAATAAACCCAACAAGCAAAAAGAAACATGGTGTAGCTTTTAAGTAAGGCTACAGCATATTGTCAAGGGAATTTAGATGAAAAAAAGCCTTTTGACTAGTGTGGCGTAATGTATTTGCTGCAATACTGTTAAAGAACAATCACTATTTCTATTCTATTCTATGGCTGAGGAAAGTCAAATTTTTTAAATCTGAAATTTAAGACTTTTAAGTGATTTCTAAGAGAATTCTAACTGAATGTTAGTTGGTTTGTTAGTCTACTGATATATAACTGGAGTCTGCTGGACTTAGCTTTTCACAAAGACCTAAGACATTGAATTCCTTAAAGGTATAGCGGAGGATGTTCGAGAATCCTCTTTAATAAAAAAAAAAATGCTTGTACACAGCCATGTAACCCAACGCCACTCAAACGCCTAATCCCTCAATCGCTAAATAGAGTGGGAACTATATAGTGGACTTAATAGTGAACTCAGTTAATTTACCGTTCAGACAGATGATCACTTCTCTCTGCTCTCCATTGGTGCTTTGCGAGGAGAGCTCTCCGCACAAAGCATTCCGGGATATCGTAGACACTTTGTCTCTTACGGCCCTCGGCCATTTTCAAAGAACCACGGTGAGAAAGGTGAGATTCATAGACTGTCTGAAACAGTAGCTAATCACAGATATACACCTGAAAGTGCGCCTGCACGGAAAAAGTTAGCTGGCACACAGGGCAACCTTACAGAAACATATCACTAGAATGACTGACAATTAGGAGGACTACTTACTTATTTAGATGATCCAATTGGAAATAAACGATCACATCTCTATACCTTTAAGTGTTTATTTCTGTTAATTAAGAAACAATTCTGCTTAGAGCTAATGAAGAGACAATATTTGAGATTGGGATATTACACATATGGGATTAATGAACAGGATATTTGATACCTGTTAATAGGGTATTATTTTCAAAAGTTATTTTTAATCTGAGAAAGAACACATAATGGAATTGATAAATTTGTCCTTTAATCTGTGGGAAATATTGTATAGTTAAAATAAAACCCTATTCATACCTTCTGATGTACAGTATTAAGTGCTAAATGTACTTTCTCTCAGCTAAGATGTTTATTTTTAAAACTTATTTTGGAAAATAGACAAAAATTATGTAAAGCATTATATTTTTTGAAATAAATATATTTTGACATTTCTGTTTATATATTATTGTCAAGTAGCATGTTATTAATATCATTTTAATCAACAAGTAATAAATCCTAATCTGCATTACAGTGATTTTCCTCTATTTTATAATGGTGGATCGGCTTTTTACATGTTTGTTTTTACTGGTGGTGATGAGCTCCAAACTTGTGAGGCAGGAAGTCTCTTTAAAATTATTCTAATCTTTAGCTCCTTCCATTTGGGTAATATGCAAAGTTTGAAAAATTTAATTTAGGGTAGGAATACTTTCATACTTAATTGTATGTAAATCTGCGTATTTATGTGGCCAATGTGGCTCTGTGGGGAAACTGCTATTTTAATTGACATAAACAGGTTTGGTTGCAGCACCCTCCTAACACATGCTGATGAACTACTATGAAAGGCAAATAATTACAAGTGTCCTACTGATCTGTGTGTTGATGTATGAATGTGTGTATGTTTGCAGTTGAAGTGTAAAAACACAACACAAAATATTGCCCCCGGGATCTCTGTTTTATCAAGCTACTGTGTCATGCACAATTCCATATCTTGCAAAGCCAGATTGCAATCCTTTCTATTTTTGGACACATGCAAAGTGTGAGACCACATAAACTAAATATAGTTAACTCAATAGGGTCTAGTGTGAGCCAACACAACCATCACAGATCCCTGGAAAGGTGTCAAAACATTCTGAGAAAAACTGAGCAAAGGCCTGATAGCCTCTGATTTAAGCCTGCGTTTTGGCTAAGTTGCTAACTATTTATATCTGGCACATTTAGGTTAAAAATGGACCTTAAATTTAGCAAAGGTACATCTTAAAAAAAAAAAAAAAGGTATACTGACGTTTTGGATCAGCGTAGACAGAGTCTTGATTTTAATCCAATGGAAGAAGCTAAAGATCAGAATGATCGGGAAAAAGGACAGATTTTATGATGCTGATCACACCTAATACCTAACAGTATTTTAAACACTTACAGTAAGATGCTGCAAAGGAATGGAGAGAAATATGCACATGCACATAATCCCATTGTCAAACATCCTTATATATGCCCAGTACTGCTAATTGTTTTTGACAAATATATGCCTTAATGTTGGTTTGTCTTTCTCTAGCTCTTACTGCAACACTGGAGCATGTTTATCTTCCAAAATTAGCATTACCAATCTTTAGATTTCTCTCCAAACGGGAGGCAAAACCTACAAAGTGATTATGTAAACACAGTTATAAGTCCCCACAATAGGACACATCAACACACACACACAGACTAAACCTTAATTCCCCAAATAAAGCTTATTACTGCCTTCTTCTAAATCAATTTTGCCCTTCATCTCTAGCCAAACGTGTTTCCAGATACTTTATGCAGCATGTGTGTGCATCTGTGTTTGCGTACACATGCACATGTGATTGTTGCTCCTTGGGGGGGTTTCACAGTCATAAGCCTTTTGCCTTCGCAGCATGAGGCAGAAGTCCTGAATATTTATGCACAACTACAGAGAGTCTATCAATAACTAAACAGAATTTCTATACCACAGAGGAAGCGAATGAAAGAGATGAAGAGCTGGAGGTCAGAACGTTAAACAAACAGAAAAGGAAAGTTGGGAAATATAAGGTAAAGGAATGAACATTGTATGTTAATTCTGAAGATGTAGAGTTTGACACAGGGAGGAGATGCAGAGTAAAAAAATATTGAGGAATTATGAGTGAAGATAAAGAATTATTAGCTGATGTGGTTGCATTTATCAAACCATATAGTTTACAGAATTTTCTTAAGGATAATTTTAATGAATATTTAATGAACATACAGTGATATGCAAATAATGGCGCTGACAACCAGGGACTCTGATTATATAGACCAATCTGGGAGTTTAATTTCAAATTCTCTTTGTTTTCTCTCTATGCTCAAACAGAGCCTTGAATAAATCTTTGAACTTCTACACATCTGGCTGCATCCACAAGTATCAAAAAAAGGGGTGCTCGATTGACAGATGGCCTGAAAAGAAGTCATTATTCTCCATATAAACTGATTTTAATCAAATAGGACCTGTTTGTTGACTGGATTCTGTTCATGATCCGTTAAAACAAGCTAACTGATTAAGGATTCATTAGCATTTTCAATTCTATCGCTATTCCTTTCAGTGTGTATATATGCCATGATGGCTAGCTCCTCTCCCAGACTGACATCACACTTCTGGCTTTGGTATGGAAAAGAAAACTACATATTGTAAAATCTAGCAATTTAAAATTTGGAGAAAGCCATTACGTGTCTCATTTGTTGTTTCTTAAAAGCTATAAGGAAAAACAACAATCATCTCTCCAGCTGTGCTGTTGGAGACATACACAAAAGACAGCAATAAGTGTTTCCACAAAGTAACTCGGTATTAATATACAAATGCAGGCCATACTCTTTAGATGCTTTATTGTGAAAAGAAACAGGTCACATTGAGATACTTCTTCATTTGGCATCTAAAGAAATCTTTTGGTATGGTGTTTTTATGCATTTGAATGCCAATGTTTCCTGGAAAGAAATTGTGCTGAAGATGTTTTGGAGTACTAAAACTGTGCGCACTGCTGCCTTGCAGCAAGGAAGTTCCGGGTGCAATTCCCCTGTGCATATGTGGGTTCTCTCCAGGTACTCCAGCTTCCTTCAACAGTCTAAAAACATAACTTTTAAGTTAACTGGCTTCTCAAAATTTCTCCTTATGTGTGAGTGTGTGCATGAATGGTTCTATGGAGTGGCGACCTCTCCAGGGTTTACTCTAACTTTCACCCAACGACACCTGGAGATAGGCACCAGCACCCCTCATGAACCCAGCTGGGATAATGCGTGACCAAAAATTTATGGATGGATGTATGTTTTGGAGGCTTTGCAGTGCCCCTAAAAAAAGAGTGTATGACCAATATAGCTCTTACAAAAGCAGTGTAGGACTGCTACGTTCACACCGGACGCAGCAGGCGCGGCAGAAGCAAACGCGCTGCTGCTCGAGATGGAAAAATTTAACTTTTGCTGCTCGACGTGCCGCGTCAACCAATCAGGGAAGCTGATCTGGGGGCTGACAGGCAGACGGACACATCGCTGATGATACAAAGCGCTGTGATCACTCCTCTGAAACAGTTTATTGATGCATAAATTAACTTAAAATGCAGAGATCTGCCGGCAGAATATGTTCGCTTTTATTATCCTGGTGCCTGCAGTTCGGATTATTTAGATGAAAAACACCTACCAGCTGCCGCGGTGAACCTCGAGGAGGCGACCCGGCCAGAGGCTGCTGTTGAATGGGATTCCTACTGTCGGCGCACCTCCGGTATGTGGGGGTCTGAGCGGCTCCGACAGAAATAATATTGGGAGGCAGGATGATAATCTGAATGAACTGACTGCACTGATTAAGTGTTCAGGTGTATTTTCTCACTTAAAAACATATTAAAACTACTTTATTCCCACTGATCACAGCAAATATAGCTGCAAGGCGGAGAAAGGATAGTGAAGCTCCGCCCAACGCGCGTCAGACCCACTTTTGCACCGCGCAGCCAGAGCAGCAAAGCTGCTTCAGCCGCGCGTCAGAACTAAACTGGTACAAGCAGGAAAAATGAAGCAGCAGATGCGCCTGCTGCGTTTGGTGTGAACGTAGCATAAGACTGATTGGTAAACCTGTTTCTTTGATATGATGTTGTGTTAATGTGTTTTTGGGTGTCTTCGCTGTGAAATGTTTTTCAAGCCATCTTTTGTTTTGAATAGGAAATCAGAATCCTTTCTCTATACAGGTAAATATAAATCTAGATAATATAACTAGCACATAATAAAACTCTTCTATTTGTTCTTACTGTATAACAGTTATTTCCGAGATATAATCCATACTGATCTTCGTTGGGCTGTTTGTAGAGTTATTTCATAACCCATTCAAATTCTGATTCATTTGATTAAAGTTATAAAACTCAAATCATACATTGGCTTTTGGCTCTTTATCTGGGTCAGAGCAAACCGGAGCCCAGCCCCCGCATACTCTCCTCCGGTACATCTCCCATCCCTTTCTGGTGGATTTTGAAGTGTTCTTGGGCCAGATGGAATGTGTATTCCCTCCAGCAGCTGCTGGGGGTGCTTTCCATTTGGTTAATGTGATTTTGTTTATCTTCCTGGCTCACATTTTCTTCCTTATAGTCTCAGCCCATCTCTAAGGAGAGGTAAGAGGTGTGAGCATGGAGGCAGCCATAAACCCAGACTTACAGCAAATCAGTAGCTAAATGTGTTCAAATCAAAGTCCTCAATAATAGAAGAGGGCCAATGTAACTCAAGTTTATAAAATATGAGAAGAGTTTGTTTAAGACACCTCATCTGAGAAAGACAGATTTGAGCAAAATTACAAAGAAATAATAGTAACCGTAACTATTCGGTCTGATCTCACATGCATTTGCAGAAATAATATTTATTTTTATAAACCAATCCAATATTTCTTTGTACTTTTTCCGCACTCCATCTTAAGGTACATTAAGTAAATTACTTGTTGCATGTCTAGCCTAAACCACTATCATCCCACTGTGACTAATTTACAAAATGGAAGAAATGCCAACAGTTGAGGTATGGGTTTCAAAGAGATTCCAAGAGATTTGTATTTGTTAATGACAGAGTTTATCAGTGCTTTAACCGTAAATCAGAAAACTAGCAGCATTTAATGTTACCTTTTAATGCCCAAGTACCAGGCTTATTTTAATAAGCAGTCAAACCTAAAAGCAACAATTGATAAATCTTTTTAAACATCCTTGATTGCCTAGCAGAGTTGATGCAGTAAGACAATGCTAGTTAGATTTAATTTGTACAGCATTATTCAAAGGACAGCCAAACAAAATGCTTTACAAGAGAACTTAGTAGCAAAAGAAAAACTGGAATAGTTTTTATGCAACAGTTTGATTGGATACAGTCAGACAGGGCAAAGTGCAAAAATAGTTTACCAATGTTGCCATCTTCAGTGTCTATGCCCATTACAACCTTATTGGATTTTATTTCTGGGTCTGGTGAGAGACCTTTGACCGTGATCTGTTACTGTGGATTCACTCAGAAACTTATTTACTATTTGTGAACATGATACATTTGTCTGTTGAGCCCAAGAAATATTCACATTTACATTGTATGCACCTGGAAAATTGTAAAACAAACAGTTCTAAGATTTATTAAAATGTTGTACCCTACCAAAATTCTAATAAAGTTTTCTGAATAATATTTGGAATTTCTAATTCTAGTTGTACTGAGATAAGGACCAGAAGCGGCAATAAACTATAATATCAAAAGCGCAATCCCTGTAAACCAAATGTTTCCCAATTTTTATACAGATATTACACAAGTAGCGTTTGACCTTTTAAAATGCTAGATTTTGCTAACGGTAAATACTAGCCTCCATGTGTTCTCTATAGATTTTTTTTCTATGTCTGCTTCTGTCTCCTTGAACCCCAGTCGGCCTATGCATATGGTCACTCACACTGAGACCGGTTCTGCTGGAGGTTTCTCCAACTTTTAAAGGAAGTTTTTCCTCTCCACTGTCGCTACATGCATGCTTGGTGTGAGGGATTGCCTTCGTGTCAATGAGTCGATGCATTCTAAAGGTTTTCCTTAGAAACTTTGAATCGATTTGACTGTATGATCTGTTTGAATAGTATCTGTAAAGTGCCTTGAGATGATGTGTTGTGAATTGGGGCTAAATATACATATAAACTGAATAGAAATTGATTTTAGATGGCAATTTTACCTTAACGGAGATTTTCAAGAGCTATCACAATGTTAAAACTCAGTAGGTTATGTATGAGATGGAGGAGAAAGGCCAGTCCTCCTGGCATCTTTTGCCCAATTTGATGAAATGTCAGAAAGGCTGGTTAGATTCTACATCCTAAAGCAAATCATTTCTTTTTCATAACTGAAGACGTGTTTAAGAACTGATGGAGAGATTAAATGACCAGAATCATCTTTATTAACAGGCTGAATCAGCCGTAGCCAATTCAAGTTTTAGATATGCCTTTGGTTCAACATACCTGAATCAAGTAATTAGTTGATTGAGCGGACTCTAGAGGAACTGACTGCATACTGATGAGGTAACTCAGCCATGTGATTCTTGGTGTGTCACACCGAGGATGGATCTAAACGTTGCAGGACACCAGCCCCCAGGAACTGGAATTACCCAACACTGGTCTGAATGAACAAGCTCTGCAGATAACAGAAGTTTCAAGTACATTTAAATAGTTTTTTGCACATTTGATACTGATTTTGCACACATATAGTTACATTTTCCTCCACACTGTTTTTCCAGTTGTCTTTTTTTTTCTTTAACTGTTGAACGGTACTGTACTGACTATTCAGCAATATGTAAACAAGAAAAATACAAATGACAATAACAATGCCACAACAATTACTGAACTTCATATTTGCTTATATTAAGCTGAACCGACAGTGAGGATCTGGGCATTGCTAGATTTCCATGAAATCACCCTCTGTAAGTAAATTGATGTGCATTATTAGGTCAGCAGGTTTCCTCATTAGGAAGATAAAGTTTAAAAGATGGCAGTACCAGGCAGCTAATTACTGTTTGCATAATCTGAGCCTTAAGGAGATGATTGCTAAACAGAGAGACAGTGATTGGGAAAATGAAACCACTCCATTCATCTAACTGTGCAATCACATTACATTCAAGAAGCATGAAAAAAAGCTGTTTAAGATGCTGTTTCAATTAGTTTTAGGAGAGGCTGTACTCTTTCACATATATGTATACAGGAAAATGTATTTTATTTTACTAATATTACAAAGAATTGTGCCAATGTGATTCAAAATGTGTATTCCCTCCTTTTTTATTTGCATTAATTGATATAATTTTCAAAAACTCTATGAATAAATATCTGTTGTAAAAATTCTCATTAATTTAGACATCTTGAGGTACTATGATGGTAGTAGTTTGTAGTAGTAAGTGTGGGAATAGTGGTAAAGAGGTACATTTGCTTACTTGCATTAAAAAAAATTATTATGTTGACCTTTTCGTTTTTAGTTTTGCTGATCAAATTAAAGTACCTTGAAAGAGGAATGCTTTTGGGTTCAATAGATAGGGAGTTCACTGATACAAATGAAGAATTAGAAGAAACAAATAATGACCATTTGTGTAAGAAAACAAACAAACAAAACACCATAGATGTTGAAGTTTTGCTAAATATATTCCCTATTACGATTTACCAAAGAAGGAAAACATAAGCCCAAACAGTTATTTATGTCTTCCTATTCTAAATTGCTGGTGATTGTCACAAAAGTTACAGGATAAAAAATACAAATATTACAGAAACCTACAGCTTGAATTTCTGCTTTTATGTAAAGTTCTAGATATCTACATCTTGATCTAGACATGTTGATCTAGAGTTTCAAACCAACACACAGGGCAATTTAAATATCAACCTTTCACTCTAGATTCTCCTATATTTTATGCTTAACAGGCTTCAGAATTGAAGGGTTAAAAACAAGGAGAAGTGTGTCAGCTGAATGGAAAAACTCTGTCCACCTCACATTTCCGGTTTTAATTGTCCATTTCAGACCTGGTTACTGTCGGTCAGTTTCCTAAATTATGCTCCTCTGCTGCTGACTTTCTCTAACCTGCCCCACCCTAAAACATTCTCTGCACCTCCAGGAGTTAAAGGGCCAGATGTCCCAGCTAAGGCCGCTCTTGTCAGTGGTGGAGCAGTACAGATTGGACCTGCAGACGCTGGCCACCTTACGAATTGAGCTGCTCAACCTATCGATCATCCTGACAGCTATCCAGGAGGAGGTGGGAGCCTACGACTATGAGGAACTTCAGCAAAGGGTCTTAATGCTGGAGACAAGGCTGCACAGCTGCATGAACAAACTGGGTATGTAATAGAGCAATGTAGAGAAAATCTCTTGCCATAGGCTGCCCATAAAAAGAAAAGAAGCTCTGAATTTGTATTTTTCAATTGGGGAGAAGAATAATGGCTGACTGTATTTGTATTGACTGCATGAGAATTTTCTGATGCTTAATTTAACAATAAAAATAAAAGAGTGAAAAAGAGCCAAGGAAGCTGACTATAACAGATGATCTAAGTGCTTTAAGGAAAAATATAAGTAGGTATTAAAGAAAATGGATACTGTAACCTTTATCCCCTCAATTAAGAGCTCTTTTTTTTAGATTTTCACAACAGCTCATGCAAACCAAACACACGAAGGCCACAGCCGACCAGTATATTTAATCCCAGAGCTAACATGATGTGAGACGACATTACAAATCACTGCTCTGCTGTGATGCCCTTTGTTGGTGTGGCTTAACTTCATATAATTGCATCACATTGATTATGGCAGCATCATTAAATTCAAACTAGTAATTAGACACAACACTGGATATTGTGTTAAAAGATTGTTTTGACATTTTGGTATGTACAGTTTGCCCATTTACTTTCTTGCCCTCTAGGCAGTATTTTAAATATGAATTTAAAGTAAAGTTAACTGCATTAGTTTTTTTTTTTTAACAATTTGTCCTGCATTCACTTAGCTCACGTACGTCTGAAGGTTGTCCCTTTCTTCCTATTTACCCTGAGAAATTCTGTTAGCTCTAGACACCAAATTAATAAAAAAAAAGAGAGACAGCTGTTTTAGATGCCTGAAGAAGCAAAACTCTTATAAGGTCATACAGAGGCACACAGAAATATTTCAAACCCTTTATATTTTGTTGCAACTGCAAACCTTGATGTATTTAATTGGGATTTTAATCAGTAAACCAGTACAAAGTAGCACATAACTGCAAAGTGAAAGGGACATTATACATTGTTCTCTGAAATTCATACATATACAATTTTAAAGATGTGATAAACACTTGTTTTCACTCAGTTCAGTGGATATTAATGTGCACAAAGCTTACCGTAATAATAATAATACATGCAAAAATTAGACACTGCAAACAGATGTAAAAAAAATATATAAAATGTACAAATTAAGCTGTTTAACTTTAAATTGAAATTATATTAGTAGATGATTGATATGTGAAGTTATTTTCCAGCCATGTATGGTGATATTGTATCCTAATATAAAATAAATCAGAAGATTTGAAGGAGCCTAAAATAAAGCTCATGTAAAGAATTTATTTCTGAAATTTTCAATATCTTTAATTTACTAAAGAGCCCATAAATGATCTAACCTCAGTCTGGATCCTTGAACATAAATAGCTTTTAATTATAATCATGATATAGGGTATATTATTAAGCCCAAAAGTGTTCATAGATTTTTGTCCTTTTAGTTTAAGTTGTAAGAAAAAATTTTTATATTAACTGTTTCTGCAGACTTGAAGTAATGTTGTGCTGTATTGAGTAATGGACATTGTAATTTTTCTTTGGCATCATTTTACATGCCTGTCAGAAATTTTATTTTGTTCAGTCCAGAGTAAAGCAGTTGTAAAGCAGTTTAAACTGTTTTTTTTAACCATAGCTTTCTTCTCACTGTTCTCATATAAAGACCTGATATTTGGACAGTATCACTAGCAAATGTTTTTAACCCAAACTTGACCATTCATACACTCATATGGACTTAATCTACTAATTCAGTCTACTAGATTTAAGCTAAGGATTTAAACTTTGTCTACTTTTTAGTCCTTACATAGAATCCCATTGAAATACAATTTTAGTTGGAGGTTGCAGCACTAGGTTACATTATAAAAGTTATTTAGGTATTAGTTCTGGGAAAGAGGAAAGTTTGGACCAACTTAGACCCTGAACAGAAAGCAGAAAAAATACATTAAGCTGCAGGAGTGCATTTAGATATTTATGTAGACATTTCAGTCCTGCTTTCACAGTCACAAAACTGTTTTTAGAAATCCATTACAAGGGATGTGGATCCAAGCTGAAAGCCTTTCAAAATTCTCAAGTAAACTAGAAAATACTTTTTTTATTGCACCACTTTAAACCTACAGATTTTGACACAATACTGAGTTTTGTGTTGTTTTAAGGCCATAGTTTTGTTTAGAGGGGAAAACTCTACAGTAAAATTATGCAGCAGATGCAGGAATAAGAATCCTCAGAAAAGTTACCTTTCTGAAGGAAATTTGATTAGTTTTTGATAAACAAGGTGTGAATTTTCTGTGAATCAGCTGGAGTATTTTATTAAACTGACTCCTCCATCTTTTGACAAAACTGACTAGCTACGTTTCCCGGGATATTTTAGGTTGTGGTCGCCTGACTGCAGTTAGCAACCCAATCACCGTGAGGGCCTCGGGATCCCGCTTTGGCTCCTGGATGACTGATGCCATGATTCCCAGCTCCGAAAGCAGGGTAGGTGTATAAAGCTTAAAGATGGATTATTAAAAAAAGGAAAGTAAATCTGCCTTATTAGATCTCAGACCTGAAGTTTGAGATGTGGTGCTATGGTTTCATGGATTTGGATTAGGGTTTGGGATTTAATATGATGGACACAGGAAGTGTAGGATGGAAGAAAAAGACCTATTGTAATCACTGAATCTGTTATTTCAGTGATTACAATACTTTTTTTCCCCCAAAGTGTCTCTTCTTCCTAATAATAATCGATTATCTTATAAAATAAAATAAACCCAGTTAAGACAAAGGTTGATATCATTAGATCTATTGGTTTCTAAATTTATTTTTTTCTTTTGTAAAATGCAATGATTCAAAGCCAAGCAATAATAATAATAATATTTTTTGTTACTGTTATCACTTAGCTGCTACCCCTTGCTTTAGCAAGGTAAGCAAAAATAAATAAATAAATAAAAAGAATCAAATATTTGAATGAAAAAGGAAAAGTAAAGAGTTTACTAATGAGTATTAGGTAGAGAAAGTTACATTCATTTCATTTATTAATTTGAGGATTTTTTATCATGTTTCACATTTTATTTTGACATTAATAGGATCACTTGTCTTGGATTGGTCTCACCCTTGGTCTTGGTCTCGTCTGGGTCTCTGCCCCTAAAAGTCTTGGTCTTGTCTGCTGTATGCAGATTTTATGTCTGCATACAGCAGACATAAAATCTTGGATGTCCTAATACTGTATTTTGGAGAGACTATGATGAAGCACTTTTGATCAACATCTAGAAGGTAGGGGAATTAAGAAGGGAAAATGGGGAACCATTCCAGGCGGTGTGGGGGGTGCGATACTGGAAGCTCAGGAGATTTTTAAAGGATACTGGGTTTATGTATTACCAAAGCAAAAAAAAAAAAAATGTCTGAATTCTCGGTTCAAAGAGAAGGTTTGTGTTGAACTGACTCCTCTAACACTGAGCTTGTTTCTGCTGGAGGTTTCTTCCTGTTAAAAGGGATTTTTTCCTCTCCACTGTCGCTACAAGCATGCTTAGTGTGAGGGATTGCATACGAGTCAATGAGTTGATGCAATCAACTGGTTTTCCTTAGATAGAAAACTGAATCGATTTGACTATATGATCTGGTGAATTATAAAGTGCCTTGAGATGACGTGTTGTGAATTGGTGCTATATAAATAAACTGAACTAAATTGAATTAAGAAAGGATCTTAAGGTATATTTGTGGATATTGATCTATTTCTATTTAAATCTCACAAATTTATATTAGATATTTGAAACTGAAATTAAAGGTTTTGTGGAGGATTATCTTTTTTTGGGTGGATCAGCAAAATAAGTGGTTCTCCATACTGTCAATCATCGTGATGATATGTTATGTAAATCTGTCCTACGTACTTTTCCCCAGTTAGCTGTCTTTTTCTGTGTATTCACACTTTCAGGCGTAGATGTGTGGTGAGCTATAGTTTCAGTCAGTCATTGAAGCTTGCCTTTTTCACCACGGTTCTTTGAAAATGGCAGAAGGTCGTAAGAGGAAGAGAGAAACAAGAGTGTTTTTGGGAGATTCTTTCACGCAATAGCATACACTGAGATCACAGGTAAGGCTTCCCACTGAGGCCTGAGTTCCAAAGTTTCTTCTCGACAGGTAAAGTTTGGCATGCTATTTGGAGAAATACATTTCACATCACTCCTAGTTAACGTTATTTACCTCAATATTGTAACTTTCCCGGGAAGATAAGTGTATTAATTTGGTAATTTTTCCCAGAGGCGTAGCCATACATTTTTTATAAGAGTGACTAGGCATTAACCAGTGTAAACTGAGGGGTGGCCGAAAGTTGATAGGCACCAGAACCTCAGGGTCAAAATTAATGGGCACAACATCCATATGTTCTAAATATACTTTTCTACAACCTTTGCTGATGAATAGACACATAAATATTTAAATATATTCAAACAACAAGGTATAGTGGATACAATGGTTTGAGTTTTGGGCGAACATCTTTTCCATTGTCATTACTTACCTACTTTTATCAGTAATTATTCTGCATAAAATTCATATTTACAAATACTAATATCTACATAAATTGATTTTCTAATACACTTTATTAAAATAGCTATTTATCAATAATTTTACTGAAGACTCTTAGATGACTTGCAGAGACACATAATTTTCTCTTTACCTCATATAACACAAAATCTATTTCTGAAAAAAAGCATGAATTCTGTACCTATAATCTTTAATGTTAGTATATTGATGTGCATAATTTACCACAGTGTTTTTGTTGTCAGGTAATTTTTAATATATGACAAATTTAAAGGTTTTAAATATTCCACTTGAGAGTATTACTGTTGCCACCATCTGAGGGGAAATGGTAGGGGTGGCCACAGGGTGGCCAGTGATTGGCTAAGGGTGGGCATTACCACCCCTGGGCCCCCATCTAGCTCCGCCCCTGACTTTTCATCAGTGGTAGTTATACGGTGACCACAGATCCTTATTTTTTTTTTATATATAAATATGGGCGAGATAAGATCCATCTGAGTGATGGTCTTATCATTTCAACCCTGCATATCCTCAAGGAGAAATGGGCTTATGCATGCTCTCGCACGAGTTTAAATGGCCTTCCCTCTCAGGTGCAGTTACAGGGTTGTGCATATGTATTTTTTTTTTTAAGTGGTGAGGATGGCAAAAATTCACAAAAATCCTCCACAATACCTTTAAATAACTTAATTTTGACCTTAATCTTCCAGTGAATACGTAATAGTAGGCATGCGGACCAGGTTCTCCTGGTCTTATTGCCATGGTTCTTTAATGTAAAAAACTGAATCCATACTTTTATGTGGGTTGTTTGTGTTTGGCTCAAGGTGTGGATTTCAGGTGTCTTTGTGTGTTGTTCATTAGTGAAGGTATGATGCAACAGGAGATCGATAAATTAATAGGCATTATCTGCAGAGGCTGATCTAGTGTGAATAAATTGCTAACCCAAAAAGCTGAATTGTCTGCCGCTCCAACCCTATGATTATCACCTACCTTAATGAGTTATGACAAGTGATAGAGAATATTAGATTTAAAATATGGCTAAAAAAAAAAAAAAAAAAGCTAAACCTCTTGTGTGGCCACATCAAAGCTTATTGCCCACATGAAAAGCTCTGTCACCCAGGGGGAGCTTATCTACATCAAAAACAGTCAGTTAAGAGGTTTAAGTCTTATTAGGGTTTCTCCTTGGCTTCTCCATCTGTGGATAAAACTAAATATTTACACACTCAAAAGCAGGAAAAAAATCTGAATAAAGATTTGCAGTTTTAGGTCAGTTAGAATAACACCTTTATACACTATATTGCCAAAAGTATTTGCTCACCTGCCTTGACTCACATATGAGCTTAAGTGACATCCCGTTCCTAATCCATAGGGTTCAATATGACGTCGGTCCACCCTTTGCAGCTAGAACAGCTTCAACTCTTCTGGGAAGGCTGTCCACAAGGTTTAGGAGTGTGTTTATGGGAATTTTTGACCATTCTTCCAGAAGCGCATTTGTGAGGTCGCACACTGATGTTGGACGAGAAGGCCTGGCTCTCAGTCTCCGCTCTAATTCATCCCAAAGGTGTTCTATCGGGTTGAGGTCAGGACTCTGTGCAGGCCAGTCAAGTTCATCCACACCAGACTCTGTCATCCATGTCTTTATGGACCTTGCTTTGTGCACTGGTGCACAGTCATGTTGGAAGAGGAAGGGGCCAGCTCCAAACTGTTCCCACAAAGTTGGGAGCATGGAATTGTCCAAAATGTCTTGGTATGCTGAAGCATTCAGAGTTCCTTTCACTGGAACTAAGGGGCCAAGCCCAGCTCCTGAAAAACAACCCCACACCATAATCCCCCCTCCACCAAACTTTACACTTGGCACAATGCAGTCAGACAAGTACCGTTCTCCTGGCAACCGCCAAACCCAGACCCGTCCATCAGATTGCCAGATGGAGAAGCGCGATTCGTCACTCCAGAGAACGCGTCTCCACTGCTCTAGAGTCCAGTGGCGGCGTGCTTTACACCACCGCATCCGACGCTTTGCATTGCACTTGGTGATGTATGGCTTGGATGCAGCTGCTCGACCATGGAAACCCATTCCATGAAGCTCTCTGCGCACTGTTCTTGAGCTAATCTGAAGGCCACATGAAGTTTGGAGGTCTGTAGTGATTGACTCTGCAGAAAGTTGGCGACCTCTTCGCACTATGCGCGTCAGCATCCGCTGACCCCGCTCCGTCAGTTTACGTGGCCTACCACTTCGTGGCTGAGTTGCTGTCGTTCCCAAACACTTCCATTTTCTTATAATACAGCTGACAGTTGACTGTGGAATATTTAGGAGCGAGGAAATTTCACGACTGGATTTGTTGCACAGGTGGCATCCTATCACAGTTCCACGCTGGAATTCACTGAGCTCCTGAGAGCGACCCATTCTTTCACAAATGTTTGTAAAAACAGTCTGCATGCCTAGGTGCTTGAATTTATACACCTGTGGCCATGGAAGTGATTGGAACACCTGATTCCAATAATTTGGATGGGTGAGCAAATACTTTTGGCAATATAGTGTATATGAGCTATATGTGTATATATTTTATGTTTTTTTATTTTTATCTTTATTATCTTAGTAGTTGGATGTATATATATATATATATATATATATATATATATATATATATATATATATATATATATATAAATGTAACTGGAGCGTGTAACAAAAGTAATTTCCCTCTGGGATTATTAAAGTATTTCTGATTATGATTCTTATATATATGTTTGTTAAAAGCTAGATCAATAAAAAATATTTTATTACACTCCGGAATGTTTGATGTTTGAAAGATTGCTCTGCCTTAAACAGTTTTAGAAAGCCTAAATCTTCAAATAGGTTAATTTATACCTTTAAAAGGTGATGTGATAAATAAGAAATTGCTTGTACAAACATAGACTCTAGACTGAATAAATAATAAGTAAACATCTAAAAGTGTCATCAGGGAGAG